AGTGAGTGAGTGAGTTGGAGGGTGGGCGAGTGAGTGAGTGAGTTGGAGGGTGGGCGAGTGAGTGAGTGAGTTGGAGGGTGGGCGATTGAGTGAGTGAGTGAGTGAGTGAATAAGTAAGTGAGGTCATGACTGTCTTGAAGTTATCTAACATGTTTTGCAAACTAGTGGTTGATAGTCTGGACACGATCAGTCCATACGTTGTACTATTATTTCACAGGAGGGGAAAATAAATAGCCATTCGTGAAGAATTCCCAGGAGTGAATATATGCCAATATTGACTGTTTCGAGAGTTGGTGCCGGAATTAAAGCGGTAGGGGCGCAAATGACCAGTGTACGTGGAAACTAAGACTAACATTTAGTCTTTATGTTCAAACCGCTATTTTTGATAACTTTGGAATTAATTTCTAAAGGTTTTGCTCAATTCTCAAATCATTCAGATGGTATGGGAACAAAAGGGTTCCTGTCCTGCCCGTCAGTTACCTCTCGTATGATGTTAAACAAATTTAAGGTTTGTGGCATATGAAGATTGTAATGCTTTGCTTAAAGAAATATATTTCTAATACATTACTATTGTTTTTGTTATTCTTATTATGTTACTTCCAGAACAATGATACATATAAAACTATATGTATATGTTTGGTAATGAATAGAAATACATTGAACATATGAGTGATATCTTATGGTTCGGAGTATAAGATGTTCTGAAAAAAGGTAGGTATAAGTAGAAGCGATGCTTCCATTGCGATAGTGGTCTCTAATTAGTTGAGGAATGCTTGAAGGCTCGATACCAGCACGTATGTTGCTCGAGTTACCTTCAAGAGATTTACTGTGTCTGGAGGCGACCTCTGCCCAGGTAACACAATCACGGTCATAATTGAGGCCAATTTGTTTTGATTTGAGAGGTGTGTAAATACGTTCAATATTGCCGAGTTGATAACTGTGTGAGAGACACAGCCGCAAGCAGACCCAGGTCAGGTGCATTGCTACAGTAGGGGGTAGCGATTAGGTGTATGATTGTATATGTGTTTTGTACAGGGTAGCGATTAGGTGTGTGCCTATTATGTGTTTTGTACGGGGTAGCGATTAGGGGTATGCCATTATATGTGTTTTGTACAGGGTAGCGATCAGGTATATGCCTATTATATGTGTTTTGTACAGGGTAGCGATTAGGTGTATGATTGTATGTGTGTTTTGTACAGGGTAGCGATTAGGTGTATGATAGTATATGTGTTTTGTACAGGGTAGCGATCAGGTATATGATAGTATATGTGTTTTGTACAGGGTAGCGATCAGATATATGAAAGTATATGTGTTTTATACAGGGTAGCGATCAGATATAAGATAATATATGTGTTTTGTACAGGGTAGCGATCAGGTATATGATAGTATATGTGTTTTTTACAGGGTAGTGATCAACTATATGATAGAATATGTGTTTTTTACAGGGTAGCGATCGGGTTTTTATAGTATATGTGTTTTTTGTACAGGTTAGCGATCAGGTATATGAAAGTATATGTGTTTTATACAGGGTAGCGATCAGATATAAGATAATATATGTGTTTTGTACAGGGTAGCGATCAGGTATATGATAGTATATGTTTTTTACAGGGTACCGATCAGGTATATGATAGAATATGTGTTTTGTACAGGGTTGCGATCAGCTATATGAATGTCTTTTTTTTACAGGGTAGCGATCAGGTATATGATAGTTTATGTGTTTTGTACAGGGCATCGATAAGGTATATGAAAGTATATGTCTGTTGTACAGGGTAGCGATCAGGTATATGAAAGTATATGTGTTTTGTACAGGTTAGCGATCAGGTATATGACAATATATGTGTTTTGTACAGGGTAGCGATCAGGTATATGAATGTATATGTGTTTTGCACAGGGTAGCGATCAGGTATATGATAGTATATGTATTTTGTACAGGTTAGCGATCAGGTATATGATAGTATATGGCTTTTTACAGGGTACCGATCAGGTATATGATGGAATATGTGTTTTGTACAGGATAGCGATCAGCTATATAAATGTATATGGTTTTTTCAGGGTAGCGATCAGGTATATGATAGAATATGTGTTTTGTACAGGGTAGCGATCAGCTTTATGCATGTATATGTGTTTTGTACAGGGTAGCGATCAGGTATATGATAGTATATGTGTTTTCTACAGGGCATCGATAAGGTGTATGAAAGTATATGCCTGTTGTACAGGGTAGCGATCAGGTATATGATAGTATATGTGTTTTGTACAGGTTAGCGATCAGGTATATGATAGTATATGTTTTTTACAGGGTACCTATCAGGTATATGATAGAATATGTGTTTTGTACAGGGTAGCGATCAGGTATATGGATATATATGTTATTTTACAGGATAGTGATCAACTATATGATAGAATATGTGTTTTGTACAGGGTAGCGATCAGCTATATGAATGTATACGTGTTTTGTACAGGGTAGCGATCAGCTATATGAATGTATATGTGTTTTGTACCGGGTAGCGATCAGCTATATGATAGTATATGTGTTTTGTACAGGGTAGCGATCAGGTATATTAAAGTATATGTGTTTTGTACAGGGTAGCGATCAGGTATATGATAACATATGTGTTTTGTACAGGGTAGCGACCAGGTATATGGTAGCATATGTGTTTTGTACAGGGCATCGATAAGTTGTATGAAAGTATATGCCTGTTGTACAGGGAAGCGATCAGGTATATGATAGTATATGTGTTTTTTACAGGGTACCTATCAGGTATATGATAGAATATGTGTTTTATACAGGGTAGCGATCAGCTATATGGATGTATATGTTTTTTTACAGGGTAGTGATCAACTATATGATATAATATGTGTTTTGTACAGGGTAGCGATCAGCTATATGAATGTATATGTGTTTTGTACAGGGCAGCGATCAGCTATATGATAGTATATGTGTTTTGTACAGGGCATCGATCAGGTATATTAAAGTATATGTGTTTTGTACAGGTTAGCGATCAGGTATATGATAACATATGTGTTTTGTCCAGGGTAGCGACCAGGTATCTGGTAGCATATGTTTTTTGTACAGGGCATCGATAAGGTATATGAAAGTATATGTCTGTTGTACAGGGTAGCGATCAGGTATATGATAGTATATGTGTTTTGTACAGGGTAGCGATCAGGTATATGATAATATATGAAGTTTGTACTGAGTAGCGATCAGGTATATGATAATATATGTGTTTTGTACAGGGTTGCGATCAGATTTATGAATATATAGCTTTTTTGTACAGAGTGGCGATCAGGTATATTAATGTATAGGTTTTTTGTACAGAGTAGCGATCAGGTTTATGTCTAGTATATGTGTTATGGTACAGGGATCAGGTATATGCGTACTATGTGCCCTAGCGCAGAACAAAATCGGGGTATAGGCCCAGTATATGGGGTTGTATGCGTCCCTGCTCGTGGTCCTGCTACAACTTATAGTGTCACAGTCAAGCTAACACCTCTGACGTCATATGTGATGTCATACATGACGACACTTCAAACTCTTTGGCAACCTTAAGTTTACACCCCTGGTTTATCAGTGGTCATGTAGGTAAAAACGCTTTGTGCGTATGGCTCATGGTCTGGATCACATTCCAAACGATCACAGTCACATTCCATATCTTTCCAAAATTTCTTTAGTGTTTTTTCTTGTGCATATTGTCATTTGTAGAATGCATATGTGTCATTTGCCTCTATATCAGAATTCTTTATTCTTATTCCGTGTCGCGCTTGTCCTCAACGATAGCCACAATGCCCAGGCTCGCCTTGTCTACATGCACTCTATTCCAGTCAATGTACATGCATACTTCGAAGACACGGGTCACCGGTGGCAAATGCTATAATCCAGATCGGTTAAATCTGAGACCACGAATGCATTGCGCTACGAAGCACTAGCGTTGATATATGTACATTCTGTGTTTGTATAAGATAAGTATACTATAGGTCTAGTGGTGGCGCCGCACAGGGACAAATGGAATGTATTACAAGAGGGTCGGCCACTTCCACCCTCTCGACTCTGTGAATTGTCTAACCGGGGTACTTGACGACTACCCCTGCCCCGTCAATACCCCGTTGACATCGCCGTCAATAGCAAGCGGGGGTGATCGGTACAGGGACATGCGGGGTTGCGGGGAGATCGATGGCATGTTGTAGAGCATATTGTGAGAGCACAATACAAAATAACAAACTACTTTCAGTCTATCGAGTGGACGACCTTTTACTGACAAGGCTGTAATCAATGTTAATTGTTCATACGACGTGTTGCGTACTTGCAGCATGTCATGGGTATTCTCGGAGAATTATGTCTTTCGTGGAATTAAAGTTACAAAACAAACAATTTTTAAAAACTGACTTTAGATTAAAAAATGCAATATCATTGTTTGTTTTGTAGTCCTTGCATGTATTCAAATCGTATTTTGGTGATAATATATTGGAAAATCATGTTAAACTTCGAAACATAATTTTTGGTTTTTAATTGACATGCCACCGACCCACCGTATGGGTGAACATTATATTGTGTTCTTAATGAATGTATTAAACAATTGATGGTAATGTATGGCACACATGTTTACTGGGATAAATTGGGGATCTTTGTAGAGTGTAGGGAATCCCTGTTTACGATGATACAATGCCAGTTACGATTAATATATTTCAAGAATGAAGATCATTGATACATTCTTATAGTTCTGTGAACTAGCGACATACCCAAGAGAAATAGCCGACAAGCAGAATTTCACAACATAGCGTGCTCATAATTCCATGCCAGAGTTTGGGTAGGTTTAACACAGTCTAATTTGGATAAAAGGTACATACATACTCTTAACTACATAAACATTTTTTTAATAAAATATTGAATAAAAGTAGGAATATAAGAAAGAGATTCAAATATTTATAAGTAGATCTCTGCAGAAACGTATACATGTAAATCCAGCTTATCATAGAAGAGCGTTTGAAATGGTAATACTTACTTATATACTTGATCAGTAGAAAGGCCTGAGCGGACGATAATCAAGTGTGTGTCCGGGGACTTCAAGTGTAAATTTGGTGTAAGATAATGACACATGGACTCCCTTCATCCGATCACGTCATGCTGGTTTCACAGCCGTCTGCTCTTTAATCACGTGGCGGGAAAGCCAATAGGTCACGTGCCTACTGTAGACATTGATCTATAATATATCCCAACAGACGGAGCGTCCCCACTGCCAAAGCCTCGTTCACACCTCCGGAGTGAGTGTTCAACCTGTCGTCTGCTCCTCACAGAGATTAATTCCACTTGAGCAGACGACTTCCCGGCTTGACTCGAGAGAAAGTCTCATGGCAGCCACTCTGCGCACGGTATCTTAAAAACCAAACAAACACCCGGCTGTGCCGATTCTATTGCCAGTGAGCAATTATTTACGGTAGAAGAAATTAGTGAATTTGCTTTGAGTGAGCGCGTTAATCTTACCTGACATGGCCGAAAGCTATAACTGTGCTGTGTAAATGCCAAGTTGACATGTTTCAGCTATAATGCTTGAGAGTCGTTAGATGGGAATGGCGTTAGACGGGGAAGACATGGGCGTTGACACTGCGGCAAGGAGTATAAGGGTGTGTTACTTACATATATTGTTTTGGTAAACAGGGTATATATCCAGGACGTACTTGACAGGTGTTTTAAAAGGACATGACTACCTATGAAGTGACTGCTGACTTGACCTGACAGCGGCCAGATGGCGTTGGCGGTGATTAATGGCTGACGGCCTTGACATTTAATTTGATAGGCCACGCTAATAAGCCGTTGTGCAATTGAGATTGACGATATTTGTATAAATCTTGAAGGTATTTGTGGACGTATTCGTGAACCGTGTGCGCTAGCTGACCTCTTGGACGAGCAGTGTCGTTTGTCCTATACGCATTTAGGGACGGCTGAGTGACCAATGAGGCCCGGGTACCATTCTAAACTACAAAAAACAATACACGTTTATTTATTTCATTTATTTTTGCTATTGTGACCAATAACACGTCAAAAGGTAAGACACTGCCTGAACAAGTATTGCTGAATTGGGGTGGTAGGGTAGCCTAGTGGTTGAAACGTTCGCTCGTCAAGCCGAAGACCCGGGTTCGATTCCTCACATCAAATGTCTTGTGGCCTCCGCCGTGATATTGCTGGAATATTTCTAAATTGGCGTAAAACCATGCTCACCCACTCACTCTTGCTGACGTCCTTGACGATGAAGCAACATCACCTTGCTGTTTCACCTTCCATATACAGATACAATGTTGCTGTTTTGAGTGACGATAAAACAGGATCATATTGTTGTTTGAAACAACAACATGCCTTTCCTGCCTAGAACAAAGTTAATAAATATGAGAATGATCATCGCAAAACTTCACTTGCCCCTTTCTAAAAGCACATTGCTGAAACCCGTGTTACAATTCCAGTGTATATAACTATTTGCACCAACAGAAGAAGGACGTGCACCAACAGCAGAAGAACATGCACCAACAGCAGAAGAACATGCACCAACAGAAGAAGAACATGCACCAACAACAGCAGAACATGCAACAACAGCAGAACATGCAACAACAGCAGAACATGCAACAACAGCAGAAGAACATACACAACAGCAGAAGAACATGTACCAACAGCAGAAGAACATGCACAAACAGCAGAACATTTACCAACAGCAGAAGAGCATGCACAAACAGCAGAACATGCACCAACAGCAGAAGAACATACACAGCAGCAGAATAACACGTACCAACAGCAGAAGAACATGCACAAACAGCAGAACATGCACCAACATCAGAAGAACATACACAACAGCAGAAGAACATGCGCAAACAGCAGAACATGCAAAAACAGTAGAAGAACATGCACCAACAGCAGAACATGCAACAACAACAGCAGAACATGCAACAACAGCAGAACATGCACCAACAGCAGAAGAAATGCAACAACAGCAGAACATGCACCAACAGCAGAAGAACATACACAAACAGCAGAACATGCACCAACAGCAGAAGAACATGCACAAACAGCAGAACATGCAACAACAGCAGAACATGCACCAACAGCAGGACATGCACCAACAACAGGACATGCACCAACAGCAGAACATGCACCAACAGCAGAAGAAATGCAACAACAGCAGAACATGCACCAACAGCAGAAGAACATACACAAACAGCAGAACATGCACCAACAGCAGAAGAACATGCACAAACAGCAGAACATGCAACAACAGCAGAACATGCACCAACAGTAGAAGAAAAGCACCTACAGCAGAAGCTGAACCAGTACAATACAGTAACTTTCTGAGCAACACGACAACAAGAGAAGCAGCAGGAAGCAGCTGCACTATCATCAGCATATCGGGGGAAGCTACACGGTAACAGCAGCAACAGCAGCAACAACAGTAGAAGATTCAAGATCAGGAACACGCCGCAACAAAAACTATGCAACATAGAGAAACAACGACAGCAATAATCACGGCTACAGCGCTACAGCAGTAGCTACACTATTATTACCAGATGCAACACAACAGCCACAATAATAATACTAATAACAGTAAAAATAGCAATGTATACCAATTAGACTAAGAGCTGGACAGCGAATATATATTTAGCACGTAAGGGAGGTAGTCCAGGATTCAAAGGTTCTCCATGTTCAGATTAATGTTATTTATATTTCACGTTATGTTGACAAAGGGCTGTGCGCCAGCATGATTGGGCCATCCGCTATCGACATGGACATGCAAACTATGACGCAAGTTTATACATAATATATACAGCCTATTTCGAATCGATCCAGTGCTTGGGTGGAACCTCATCGACATGTAGAGAATACTGTTTTTATCTTGATAAATACCTCCATAAGTATATACAGTAAAGTACGGTTATAACGAACTCAAAGGGACTACTAATTTTAGTTCGTTATAACCGTAGTTCGTTATAAGCAGTATATACAGCATGACTACAGCAAATAGTAGGGACCAAAAACGTAAGTTCGTTATATCCGTCAGTTCGTTATAAGCGTGTTCGTTATAACGGTAGTTTACTGTATGTAATGACATTCAGAGTGTGACGCTGGACTGTGTACTGAATGCTGGAAGACAATCAATAAAGACAGAGATATATTTACATGTTATTGGGATGAGATGTTTGATTACAGTTACCGTGTATTCAAGTTGTGTTTTTGTTGTTGATTTTCTTTAGCCACAGAATATGACTTCACCTGAGACTATTGATTGATTATAATGTCGGAGTGTTTTTAATAATGTTACGCAAGACGGAATCAAAGAGAAGGGAAGGGTGTGGTCAGGTGTGAGTCGGGGTCGGAGGTGGGGTCATGGTGGGTCAGAGGTGGGGTCATGGTGGGGTCATGGTGGGGTCAGAGTCGGGGTCAGAGGTGGGGTCAGGGTGGGGTCAGAGGTGGGGTCAGGGTGGGTTCAGGGTTAGGGTCAGAGGTGGGGTCAGGGTGGGGTTCAGGGTGGGGTCAGAGGTGGGGTCAGGGTGGGGGTCAGGGTGGGGGTCAGGGTGGGGTCAGAGGTGGGGTCAGGGGTGGGGTCAGGGTGGGCGCACTGGTGGCCCAGTCGTCTAAGGGACCGCCGTGGGCTGTGCGGATTTGCGCACTAGAGTTGTGCCACAAACCTGTGATGGTTGTTTCGAATTCCGGTTCGACCTATTTACAATTTTCTTATTTATCACCACACCTCTTCTCGTGGGATTTACCAAAGTGGTTGATGACTAAGACCTGTTTTGTTTGTTTCTTTATTTGTTGTTTAACGCCGCACTCAGCAATATTCCAGCTATATGACGGCGGTCTGTAATTAATCAAGTATGGACCAGACAACCCAGTGATTGACATCATGAGCATCGATCCGCAATTTGGATGACATGCATCTACCAAGACAGTGAGCCTGACCACCCGATCCCGTTAGTCGCGTCTTACGACAAGCAAACTAGACTAAGACATGTATCACTACTGACTTTCCTCCACACCAAGCTGTCACGTTGTCCTGCACCATGACTGTGGAATATATATATTTTATGAGAAAAAAACAACAATCTAGAAATTTATACAAAAGCAAGTCAAGCCAGCTCTAGCTGGCTCTATTCCACATATGAAATCAGCTTAGGGAAAATTATTTTATTATACGATGGGTATTGTGTAATATAAGATTTCATAGACTAAATGTTAGTCTAGCTGTCACGCTGTGAGTGAAACTGAAACACGGTGGCGTTAGGCCTAACTCACTCACTCACTCACTCAAAGGGAAGGATAGGAAAAGATGTCTCAGGTTAGCCAACATAGTTCAACGCTTTTACGATAAATGTTTTTTCGGGAACAACTACTTATAGTCGGTGCTTCGGGAACTATCCATTGTCGGCGCTTAGGTAACAACAGTATATTGTCGGCGGTATCGGGAACCAGGAGTACAAACCTTCTGATATGTAGACAAAACAGAGCGTTGCCAGAGCGACGCGTGTGCGTTTGCGTATGCGTATGCGGGAGCGTTTAACTCAGAAAATGTAGCTGATGTGTATAAAATATATCTTATACTTCCCATACAGGACAATCATCGATTGAGTGAGTATTTATGTACGCAGCATCAAAACTTTGCAGCTATTCGCGGCGATGTCTACAGCCTAAATGTATAATTACATAACAGCACTCATCACTTGATATTGACGATCGTTGTAAATGACCATTCAAGGCTAGAACTGATATCTTACTGTATAGGATATGTTCCTTCCCAACTGATGACGTCAGATGTGTTTCTTTGTTTGTTGTTTAACGGCGCACTCAGCAATACTCCAGCTATATGACGGGGGTCTGTGACGGGCGATCGGGTAGCCTAGTGGTTAAAGCGTTCGCGCTCGTCACGCCGAAGACCCGGGTTCGATTCCCGACATGGGTACAATGTGTGAAGCCCATTTCTGGTGTCCCCCTCCGTGATATACCTGGAATATTGCTAAAAGCGGCGTAAAACCATACTCACTCACTCACTCATATGGCTGGAATATTGCTGAATGCGGCGTTAAACAACAAACAAACAAATTTTGTGCTGTCGCGATGAGAGGTGTTTTTTATGGTTGGAGATTTTTATGGTTGGAGATTTTTCTTGAACACCATCTCTACAACAGTGCTGGAATATGTTGGTATTATTTACCAACATCAAAGCTTCACAAACAGCATCAGGCGTCGTGAATGTACATGCGTGGTTCATAATCATGATAATGTCACGATGAAATGCAGGTTTACAATGGAGACACACCAGAAACAAACCCAAACCAAACCCTTTACATAATCCAAAGAAATCTCCACTAAAAGCAGAGTTCTTTATTCAATTCCGACTACATGTTTGTCATTAACATGTGGTGTCACCCTGGACAAGTGATTTAGTTCAAATGTGCCTCTGTTCACCCACAGGGAATGGGTATCCGATATATGAGGTGTCCTAGGTTGTATACTCCGCAGGGAGTTGAGAATGATAACAGGAATGCGAACGGATCCACTGGTAGGGGAACAAATTAAAACCGCATTTGAGCAGATACTAGTACCTGGATACCGGCGGTATTTAAATGTACAATATAATATTATAATAATTAATATGTGGTTATCAAACGTTATCCCATAGTGGTAATTCTTAATGTTCGCGAATAGGTGAGCGTATCCTGCCCCACCAGTGACAACCGTCAGTTGAAGCATAATGATGACGTACGACGCGGTGTTGATTCTCAGCCAGGAATTCACTGGCCATCCTGACTAACTAACGCAAATATTATCATAATGCAAAATTACAGAGACATTATAATTCAACCATGGCATGATTTAAGTCAGTGAAATCAATCGTCTCGGTCATGATTTCTCCGCTTCGTAATGCACCGCTTGAATAGGATTTTACGGCCGCTTCTTTAAGTTTGACTTCTGATTTCGAGACGTGTGATCTGACGCCAGGAAACCAGTTCGTACAACGTCTGCCCTCTTCCTCTAGGGACACCTGTCATTCTGAGCTGTGGTCGTGTCGTTGTGGACATGCAGCCCATGTTGTGCTGTCATGCTTTTTATGTACATTGGAACCCCGTTTATCCGGACGACACTGTTGATTAACGAATCGCCATCACGAGCAGTAATTGTTCGGGAGACGGGTTTCAGGACGAGTGAGTATGATTTTACGCCGCTTTTAGCAATATTCCAGCAATATCACGGCGGGGGACACCAGAAATGGGCTTTACACATTGTACCCATGTCGGGAATCGAACCCGGGTCTTCGTCGTGACGAGCGAACGCTTAACCACTAGGCTACGTTAAGGACGAATAAGCTCCGGACTTGAGTACGTTCTGTAGTTTTTTTTAAGTTCATGATCGTGTGTGTGTGTGTGTGTGTGTGTGTGTGTGTGTGTGTGTGTGTGTGTGTGTGTGTGCAAAACCCTCTTTGCATTATTTAGAACGCGTGGCTTTAAAGACCGACGGGGGGCACGGGGGGGGGGGGGGGGGGAGGGGCAGTCGTCTCCTGGGCACGCCAGAAACCTATGATCGTGGTTCGAATCCGGTTCGCCCCGATTATGTTTCTAGGTTTGTCAGCACCATACCCGTGCTCGTGGGTTTCACCGAAGTGATAAACGTCTGAGACATGCATCACTTCGGGCTTTCCTCCCACATCAAACTGACACGCCGTGATAAAACTGGAATACTGTTCTAAGCTGCGTTAAACCAAACTCACTCGCTCACTCACTCACTCGAGCTCACTCAAAGACCGACGTTAACAATTTCTCATACACATATCCACATTTGCTAAGGTTTGTATGTTAGATACGCAATTTCTTTACTATAAATCCTGCTAAACTGCGTGCATACTTCACTAACACAAGAGCGCTTTATAAATGTTTACTCAGAGATAAAATAGTTCAGATTAGCTTTTTTCACATCGTTCCCGCAAGTAAATCAATGTTAAAAAGTACCTTTTGTGTACGATCGCTGACGTTTGAACAATAAGTTTCTTTGCTGTTGTGCACTATCAGTAACATTTAACAAGTAATCTATTGTTGTCCTTCAACATGTGCCACTGAAGTGAGATCATTCAGAGAGATCAGACATCTCGTTACTCTTGTGAACTGCAATACAATATTACCGCCCAAAGCTTGTTGTGCTTTAAAATGTTTTGTGTCTGTATTTTCTCGCCTGTTTGACTGTCTGAGCTTGTTCTGTATAATGTGATTACATTGTCCTTTGGGGCGGTCGGGTAGCCAAGTGGTCAAAGCGTTCGCTCGTCACGCCGAAGACCCGGGTTCGAATCCCAACATAGGTACAATGCGTGAAGCCCATTTCTGGTGTCCTCCGCAGTGATATTGCTGGAATATTGTTAAAAGCGGCGTAAAACCTCACTCCCTGACTCCCTGACTGACTGACTCACTGACTCACTGACTCACTGACTGACTGACTGACTCACTGACTGACTCACTGACTGACTCACTGACTCACTGACTCACTGACTGACTCACTGACTGACTCACTCACTCACTGACTCACTGACTGACTCACTGACTCACTGACTGACTCACTGACTCACTGACTGACTCACTGACTCACTCACTGACTCACTGACTCACTCACTGACTCACTGACTCACTGACTCACTCACTCACTCACTGACTGACTCACTCAGTCACTCAGTCACTCAGTCACTCACCCACTCACTCACTCACTCAGTCACTCACTCAGTCACTCAGTCACTCACCCAAACACTCACCCACTCACTCACTCACTCACTCACTCACTCACTCACTCACTGACTGACTGACTGACTGACTGACTGACTGACTGACTGACTGACTGACTGACTCACTCACTCACTCACTGACTGACTGACTGACTCACTCACTCACTCACTCACTCACTCACATTGTCCTTTATCACAAGTGGTACCAGGAGCCAATAACACAAGCAATCCTTCTTCAATGACGCTGAGCAGATTCCACGGGAATCAACATACATATTTGACAAGTATTCCATGTCATAATGTAGTGAAATTGGATAGTGTTAGTTTCTGAAACATTTTATTGTTAAATCAAATATTGACAATCAATTAAAGATATCCCGAAGAAAGAGATTTACACGGAGCCATAAACAAGCTCTCTCTGTTTTGGAAGGTTTGACAAAACAACACACTTGAATCCCGTCAGTCGCTCGACCATGTTGAACTAGCTATACACACATTAAGCACACGTAATTACACATATAACACACATTTAGAGATAGATCCAACACACGCCTCTTTATGAAACCATCTTCTCGGGGATATACGGTATACCATATACAATCACATTGTTTAGGCATTGCAACCTTGTTAACCCGGAAAATATCGGTCCCATTGGAATTGTCCGGAATGACAAATTTCCGGATTAATAAATTATGGGTATGGTGTATGTCTACTTGTTTACATTCGGTACCAAGAGTAGTTGTCCGGAAATTATGTTTCACAGTATATTTGAAATATAATTCTCCGATATGGACGTAATAATAGCAATAAGTACTGGCCTCGCACAGAAAATGTCACTGATACTGTAGAAGGTAAGGCCTAGGTAAGGCATTAGGCTTACATGTCACATATGTCACAGCTATGTGCGTGTAAATATAGTTATAGCATGATAATGGAACTACCTGCCACACATGTATATTGTATTAAGAAAATGAAGCATGTTGCCCTTTTCAAATGAAGTTCACGGTTCAACTTGTTATAGTGGATATTCACTTATTGGTGAATACAGACCAGCCTCGATTTAACCACTGAAACATTATTCCACATCTACATGTTTGAAGATGATGTACAATGACCCGCTATTGTCACGATCTTGACAATACCGGCGTGTCTCGCATCGACGTCTGTTCAACGGTCCCTTCAGACTTGACCGTTCGTGATGTCTGTGGGTCGCCGTTGGTCTGCACTTTCGACAAGATGGCGTCGCCATCAATGACGCGGAGTGATATGGGGTTGTTGTCCGTCTCGGGGCCTGCTTGGTGTTCCTCCAAGGCAAACAACGCCTGGATCATGTTTCCTTGGGGTGGGTAGTTCTTCATGTCCAGCTTATACAGGGGTGGGTGACACTGCGGCCGGTATCGACTTGGGACCGACGCCTTTGTGATGATTTTCTGGGTCCTCTCAGTGGGCTCGTTTTTAGCCTCCCCGAACACCTCCAACGTTTTAAAGCCTGTCAACAGGGATATTTTGCTCTTTGGGTCATCAAAAGGTTCTTCAACCTCTTGGGATACTGGTTCTGGTGCTTCTTGAATGACATCATCCACAGTGGCACTTCTTGAAGTATCAGTACCAGGTACGGCTTCATCCTTACCTATCAATACATTACCTTTACCGCAAGGAGTGCTCTCACCTATTCTGGCACAGTGTTTCTGTTTCTCCAGGTTCTGTTCAATGTGTCTTGGTCGACGGCGGCGTGGAGTAGGCTGGTCTATGGTCAGGTTCACTACAGATGTTGGAGGCATATACTTGGGCCTGGGGGTACTCACGACCTGTGTGTATTTTGGGAAACGTGTAACACTGGCAGGCATTGGGTCCTGTGACATTAGGTAGGGAAACATGTGACGATTGGTCTTTCTGGAATTTGGTGGCCCAGCCAGAGAGTCTGTATCTTGATGACACGTTCCTGCAGCTTCTGCTACAACAGGTCCCAGCATCAAGTTGGTAAAGGGGCTCAAGCCCACTGTTTCATCCTCAAATGAGTCCATGTGGTTATGCCTGGGCTTTGGGTGAAACAGTCGGGGAAGAGTTCGATGTGTTTCTCGCTGGGTTGGAGGTGAGGATGTGTCGGAAGGTGATCGCTCACCCCTTGCTCGAGATTCACGGTCCATCACCTTCAGCTTCAACACCGACTTCTGCTTCATCCTGTAATAATCTCTATCAATCATGTCCAGCTCGAGGTCCTGAGGCTGCTGCACTGTTTCAGCTCTCAGCTCCCAGTATTGTGCGGGATACATGTCATAAGCCTTCAGATCATTCGACTTGCCGGATTCTTTTGGAAACAAGTTCCGGGTCCTACTTAGCCCAAGACCACGAGCTCGCAGTTGTTCCCTATATGTCTCTTCCATAAGTATCTGCCTAGCGCGGCCAACAAGTTCAGGAGGAACACCAGCGAGACGATGATCCACAGATGCCTCAATATCTAGTTCTTGAGGAATCGGACTCCCCGCGGCTTGAGCTAAGGGCAATGTCTTTTCAAGTACCTTTGGTATTTTAGGAAGGACAATTCCGGAATTATCGCCTTTATTCTCAAACTGAATCACATCTTCCTCAAATGCTACCTTTGGATATTCATTTTTTAAACTGGGAAGGTTTTCAGAGATATTCGTCGACGCGTAAGTAGTCCTTATCTTTTCTCGTCGTTTTAATGTAGTGAGGTCTTCAAGACTTGATGACTGTCTCACTAGTGTAAGGGTAGGCAACTCAGCAGAGTCAAATAACTCAAGAGAACTCTGATGATGAAAGGGAGGCGACTCTGGTCTCTTCTCTGGTCGATATCCCTTGACACGTATGTTCATTTCATGATTTACCTTCTGTTGCAGCGTGGACTCGGTGACCAGGAGGGGGATGTTTGTACCCGCCTTGTTCCGCTTTGTCTCAGCCTGAGACAGGATTGTGTACAATTCTCGTGGGTTCGTCACGTCCTTCCCATCACCATGGTAACCCGTGAGACGCTGAACCAGCACAGCCCCCCTCTCCACCGAACGCTGGTTGCTTTTCTGGACGCCGGACGTCATGGTTAGAAGAGAATTGGTACGTCATCTTGATGCTTTAGTAAGGCCCCCAGAGAAGCAGCAGGGTCGAACTCAGTCTGAATAATAAAAGGAAATTGAAACCAGTAATTAAATGCAAACAGGTAATCAAACAATGTAATTTGAATTTTTTTAGAGTAATAAAGAACCAATGCATTATTCGTAATACAAGAAATGCTTCTAGTGTTTTACCCAAGCAATCGCACAACACACAGCCACCATCATATCGATCTATTTAGCCCATGAATGCGTGAATGCCATATCTCCAGACTGTTTGTAGGAGAATTAACCCAAACAGTGGACTTGGCGCTGTGGGGACAGTTTGATGTAGGAGAGAGAGGGTGGGTGTATCAGAGCCCCTTGGTGGGTGAAAGGATCGGTGGGAGTAAGTGGGAGGTGGTTAGAAGAGAGGTTTAAGTTGTGAGGGGACCATGAGAGAGGGATATTGGTGGGGAAGATGAGAGAGAAGACGCAGTGGGGTCCAGAGACAGACAAACGGACAATTCTGTTCTGTATAGAAAGACAGACAGGTGTGTTCTACACAGACAGACAGACAACCCTGTTATTCACAGACATGCAAACAGACAGTCGCGCTCACAGAAAGTCGTGTTTTACATAGACAAACAATCATTTCCTATACTGACAGTCTTGCTCTCTGCGGACAGGCAAACGGACATTCCTGGTCTGCACAGACCGGCAGACAGACATTATTGTTCTACACAGACAGGTGACCCGTGAAGAAACGGGTTAAAATAGGTTTTTAGCAACCTATGCTTGTCGTTAGAGGAGACTGACGGGATCGGGTGGTTGGGCTCGCTGACTTGGTTGATGGTCGTCACCGTATCCCAATTGCGTGGATCGATGGTAATGATAATTATTATCAATCACTGGATTGTCTGGTCCAGACTCGATTATTTACAGACCGCCGTCATGTTGTTGGAATATTGCTGAGTGCGGCGTTAAACAATATACAAACACAGACAGGCAGACAGACAGTCCTGTTCCACACAGACAGGCAGAAAGCAACGCCGGTATCCAGGGGTAACCAATCCATGCATTGATACCTCGCTGACTCTACACACATACACACACACACGCAACTTTAGAAATATTTTGCCAGGGAAGTTATTGGAGTTTTATTACTTGACAACATTCCAGCGAAACAGATAGCTCTATGCGGCACGGCTAACGTAAAACGACGCAGTCGTGATATCAAAAGATTAATTTAGTGAACAAATACGGCACCGATTGATATGAAGTTCTTTGTGTTTCCCCGCGGGCAGAGAGCCTTTGATTGAATAACTGGGAGGGCACGCACTGGGTCAGGGGGACTCTTGTGTGAGTTGTCGCCAGTGTGTTGGAGGGTTCAGCCTGGCGACAGGGCTTTCACTGTTTCATAAATAGTGGTCTGACACTCAGATAAGACTCAACTGTTAAAGTTGAAATGAAACATATAGAGGAGGGGGGTGAAGAAAGATAGGAAGGGGGTGGGGAGACGACGACGTAGATAGAGTGAGGAATGTACACAAACGAACGGTATACAACGATGTGTGACATTTATGCATCCACCGCTGTGTGACACCAATGTATCTGCTGCTGTGTGACATTTACGTATACGCCGCTGTGCGACATTTAGGTATACGCTGCTCAGTGACATTTACATATACACTGCTGTGTGACATTTATGTACACGTTGCTCTGTGACATATATGTATACGCTGCTGTGTGACATTTACGTATACGCTGCTGTGTGACATTTATATACACGTTGCTGTGTGACATTTACGTATACGTTGCTCTGTTACATATATGTATACGCTGCTGTGTGACATTTACGTATACGCCGCTGTGCGACATTTAGGTATACGCTGCTGTGTGACATTTATGTATACGCTGCTATGTGACATTTACATAAACACTGCTGTTTGACATTTATGTACACGTTGCTGTGTGACTTTTAATTATACGCTGCTGTGTGACATTTATGTGTACGCTTCTGTGTGACATTTGTGTATACGCTGCTCAGTGACATTTATGTATACGCTGCAATGTGACATTTATATATACACTGCTGTGTGACATTTATGTACACGTTGCTATGTGACATTTACATATACACTGTGTGTGACATTTATGTATATGCTGCTGGGTGACATTTGTGTAAACGCTGCTGTGTGACATTTATGTAATTGCTGCTGTGTGATATTTATGTGAACGCTGCTGTGTGACATTTATGTACATGCTGCTGTGTGACATTTATGTATATGCTGCTGTGTGACATTTATGTTTATGCTGCTGTGTAATATTTTTATATACGCTGCTGTGTGACTTTTTTGTATACGCTGCTGTGTGACATTTATGTATATGCTGTTGTGTGACATTTGTATATGCTCTGCTGTGTGACTTTTATGTATACACTGCTGTGTGACATTTATATATACGCTGCTGTGTGACATTTAAATGTACGTCGCTGTGTGACATTTATATTTACGCCGCCGTGTGAAATTTATATGTCCGCTGCTGTGTGACATTTATGTAATTGCTGCTGTTTGACATTGTGTGACGTTTATATATGCGCCGGTCTCTATATACCAATCTGAGGATTGGACAAATACAAAAGCAGTATGTTGATTTACATACCACTCAAGTTTTGTAAGGGACTCTGAGACATTGAAGCATTCCTGGTGCAAGAGGAAATAAAACATTATTATTCAGATGTATCATGTTCTGATAAAACTGTCCCAGTGAAAAGCTGAGTAATATACAAATAAATCTCACTCGTCTTAGTCTTATTCTCTGTAAGCTGATTAAATGAGATAATTACCTGTGAGCTTGGCCTTTCAACAATCCTGATAAACCACTTAGTGTCGCAAAATAGCTTATATATTTCCACGAGTTATCTAACTTGCGCCACAGGGACACGTATGGGCACACATTATCTATCTTATGACACAGAGAGTTATGGGAGGGGGTTGTGTGGTTGGGGGGGGGGGGGGGGGGGGGCTGAGTTATGAATCCTTATAGTCACATAAATGAACATTTGATATACCCCCCGAAGCCTCTATCAACATGATCAGTTCTTTATGCTTTGATATTAAACATATACTCAGAACGTCCGATCACAGATAAAAAACAAGATCGAGTCCAGCATGATAGAATGACTCCCCTCCCCTCTCCCCTCCCTCAACCCTCCTGTCCATTGTTGGATATCGACCAGTACAAATAGAAGATTACGGTAAGATATTGACAAATAATTGATTCAGTTAATCGAAGACCAATCTGGAGGCGTGTAACGTGACATTAGCGACAGCTGTCTGGCATTAGGTTACACCCTGGACAAGCTCCCAGACAACACTGCTATATAGCGTTCTTATGGCCGTCATGACCGCTTTACCATGTCACACAAACAGTCTCACTGAAGGAATTTGATGTACAGTAAACTACGGTTATAACGAACACGCTTATAACGAACTGACGGATATAACGAACTTACTTTTTTGGTCCCGACTATTTGCTGTGGTTATGCTTTATATATGCTTATAACGAACTACGGTTATAACGAACTAACATTAGAAGTTCCTTTGAGTTCGTTATAACCGTAGTTTACTGCATTGCGATAATCATCCAAATCACGATGTTATCCATAATTGCGAGATGCAGAAAATCAGATGTCGGAATTTATCGCCTACAGCGGTTACTAGGCTGCGCAAACAACAGGCTACTCATCCACGTCATTTGACGAGGCGAACAACAGAACGCACTTCGTAGATTTTTCTCAGTAAGGACAGAATATATAATCAGAAAACATGGGCGATATTGATTGAATGGAATATTGATTTTTAGTCAAACTACGAAGCAGCTTTTATATCGTACCTGAGTAGTTATCCCACTATATGGAAAGGTGGTGTAGTGATGTAGTTTAAGCCACTGTCCAAGTCGTGTAAGTGTCCGAGCGCACCTGTCCTATAAAACCTCTCGTTTCACAGGTAACGGGACTGGTGTCAGGGTATGTGTGAGACAGGCTTCCAAACCTGTTCCATCGACCTGCAACCTTGCTGGCAATATCGCCCTGGCGCTCACTCCTCCGGGTCACCTCTTGTCACAGTCTCTACTCACACTGATCATTTCGTGTCTGAGACTCCACTCGCACTGATCATCTCGTGTGGGAAGCTCTCTGTACTAAGGGTCGAACCAGGGACAGAACGAAGTCCAATTACCTAAATCTGAATCTCTAAAGCGTAAACAGACCCGCATTTACATGCCATTTGGTCCGACTGGTTTGCGATTAGCGAGGCGTGTTGTGCACACTTGGACAGGAGAATGTGGGGAACGTGCTCACGGACCTGTTAATCATTCTCGGGAGATTAACATGCGCAGTCGTGTTATATAACAGTTTACCTGTACTGGACCCTGTATCGCGTGACGCCAATGACACAACTTGCTGTGTAGAGTAGTGTCCCCTTATTTTTCAGGATCCGTTCATCGTGGATTTGTATTACGATCCATGGGTTTGTCCGTTACATTTTGTCTGTTTTGTCATTTGACATTTTCCTATTTGTGATGCTTTGGACTCTCCTCCCAAATTAAGGCTGCCTCAATCCTTTGTGAGTGAAGATTGTTGTATCGTGGTTTACGTCGCTAACTCGATAATACAGTGAATAGGTGAGTGAATGGTGATTAACGCCGCAGTCAGCAATAATAAGCCTGTAAACAATCGAGTCTGGTCCTCACATGAGCAACGATCCACGTCGAGGTTTGCCTGATCCAGACTCGAACATTTACAGTTGGCGTGATATAGCTAGTATACCGCTGACTGCGACGTTAAACAACATTCCCTCACTCGCTAAGTACTTGAACAACCTTTTTTTTTTCGTTGAAGAGAATGAGAGTAGAAATGGCGCGCCGGAACACGCATGTTGTCACAAAATCTGCGCTCTGAAAACAAATGACCGCCTAATTTTTTGTGTGATATATCGCGATCTTCCATCTTTTGGAAATATCCACATATGATATTGGTCTCATAGTGCTAATTGTCTAGGATATAGCCCTCACCTGTAGAAAATGTTGGTACAAAAACATTATATTCTACTCCAGATGGTTGCTGGTGCTGCGTCGTATCGTTTGATGCAAAGAAGTAGGTAAGACATTTGCAGGTTAGTCAAATACCTGAGTGTCATGGAACAGCTACGGTGAGGTGAGGTGAAATGGGGTTTCACGTCGCGTCCAAGATTATTGCACTTATATAGCGACGTGCATGCACGTGTATGTATGTGTGTGGCTGCTTGTACTAGTCCGGACTGATGCCGATTTATAGTGCTAGCTCACTGAGATACCATGCCAGTTTAATATGAATACCCCACTCAGACACAGTATACTGACTCCGAGCCGACCTGTCCTTGTTTTAGTCCCTTAATGCCGAACGCCAGACAGGGTAACAATAAGTACCATTTTTAACGTCTTTTAGTATGACGCGGTCGGGGATCGAACCCCGGACCTTCCGCTCTCCGGGCGGACGCTCTACCATAAGACCACGGAGGCGGTCGGAACAGCTACGGAATATTCAAGTAGATAATCGATTTCGGTTTCTGTATTCGAACGTTTTATGTCTTTTGTAAACAGAAACAGATGCGTTTCGTCCGAAAATTGATACAGGATACGATGTAAAAAAGCACTAATTTATGGGGAAATATACGGTATGCTGTCCTTGACCCTTTCCCAGGTGTATCATTTTATTGTATTCTAAACCTAGAATCGTGGGTTCGAATCCCGGTTCGCCGTGATTATGTTTCTTGGTTTTGTCAGCACCATATCCGTGCTCGAAGGTTTCACCAAAGTGGTAAACGTTTAAAACCTGCATCACCTCTTCCTTACCTCCCACAGGAAGCTGACACGGTGTGAATTAACAAAAATAGTATTCAAAGCGGCGTTAAACTAAAATCACTCACTCGCGAATTTCTGTCCTCTAATCTAACAGACAAAAGAAAGCAACATTTGAAATTTGGATTTGACCCAAACACTTCGAACGTTCTCAAAACATTACTTGGCCGAAAAGACCCGTGAAGATACCGGGGTAGAATAGGTCTTCAGCAACCCATGCTTGTCGTAGAAGGCGACTAACGGGATCGGGTGGTCAGGCTCGCTGACTTGGTTGATGCATGTCATCGATCCAATTTGCGTGGATCGATGCTCATGATATCATTCTCTGGATTGTCTGGTCCAGACTCGATTATTTACAGACCGCCGTCATATAGCTGGAATATTGCTGAGTGCGGTGTTAAACAACAAACCAACCAAAACAACTTGGCAGAAAACAGTCGCCGAAACACAGACACTTAAGACCCAAAGCACAACTCGTATACGGTATCAAATACTTCACCGTTGAACAGCCATTCTTGTTTGTTTCATTATAAGCCATCATCAAACATGGGTGTATATTTTCTTTCACCCGGGGGTTTAGGATATTGGTGTTCTGCCTTGACGTCAACTCGGTGAAAAGCCTATATGACAAATCACGTGTATTACATTGAATAGCGGCATGATCAAAGACCCTCGCACCTCACCTAATCGCAAGTTCAACCCGCAGCCATTCTGTGAGCCCACCATCGAGCAACACATAGTCTCTCAAATAAGTAATATATACTTTAGGATTAAATAACAACAATTCGAAAAAGGAACTCTGGAGTATAATGGAATTCTCAAAGTCTCTTAATTTCAGCAAGACTGAAAGGTTGATGAAACGGGCTGCTGACGCTGAGAAGAAGATGACAATGGACAAGTTTGTTATTAATCATATGCTCTGGCGTCTGTAGGAAAGATTACGATCACTGTTGATGGGACCGTTGCATGGTGATCTAGACGTTAGTGAGTTTATATGGTAATCAGTTTGTTATTGATTGCCATGTTCTTATCAAAATGAAATTAAACTATAAAAGAAATTGACAGCAAAATGATAGATATTGAAAAACATAGTTGAAGTCACGGCACGAACACGTCAGACAAAACATATTGCACGGACACGTTTGAAAGGAAGACTGGATGTGCGCCGTTATTTATACGGATCTGTTGAGAAATATTCCATTTTCGCACGCAACTTATCTGATCGTCATTCCGCTGTATTGACTCGTGGATAAATATAAACATAGAAGGATTGCAATCAAGCGATCGCGTTACAAAGTGAACAACGGTTATTGAGTGTGCGGAGGGCTGTCTATTAATGTTGGAGTATGTATGAATTATGCATGCGCATGTATGACTTATGCATGCGTATATCCCACTGCATTACACGGAAACGTGTCTCCCGCGTTGTTTACATTGTAATGATTATATTTTCGATTAGCGGTACTTCCGCTGTTCCTTCTGAATAAGTATCACGCCCTTCACATATAGTGAGCGGGTTGATTGTTACGCCGCTTTTAGCGTTATTCTGGCCTTATCACGATAGGGTGCACCAGTAATCGACTTCACACAATTGGGGAATCGAACCCGGTGTTCGGCGTGACGGGCTAACACTTTATATACTGTGCTACACAACTACCTTTCAGGGGTCATATGTTTTAGACAAGCTTGTCATGGGGATCTCGTATATGATTACTTACAGGACAAAAAGGTCACATGTACTTTTTCATTTTGCAGTTGTACTATCTTGATGGGACATTGTTTGCTTTCAGCTGACGAAAAACTGCTACTTTCAATTTGTTTACGTCATGTTCATTCATGTTTCGTCTGCTTTCTCAGACAAGGATGTTAACTTTGCAAGGGGCCACATTGTGGACAGTCAAATAGAACACATACCTTCCCTCACTGTTTTGTTGTTGCATAAGCTGCCTATTTCAAGAGACGTTTTAGATTTCTTAATGTTTTGTAGCATTTTGTTGTGTCCGTAGCCCATGGGATGTTTATGATGAGTTTGAGACAAAACCAGAGGTAACTAAGAAACACACTTTTCAGGCATAAAAGTGCCAATATAGACCTTCTATCTTCTTACACCACCTAAGCACTTTAATTACTCTTGATATTTCAACAAAAGTGTAACATAAATGTGACCCCTGATTGTGACCAGGTCGTTCGTCACTGCAATCATTTGTTTTTGTCAAGAATAGGACACTGAGGCTCTTTCCTTCTCCTTAAACGTGGTGACCATGGATACAGTTCCTATCTATCATCTGATTAAAAAATGAAAGCAAATCTGAAGATTACTGAGAAAACAATATGTTAAATGCTGGTGTCCTTATTGATAACATGTTCATAGGTCGGGGAAAGACATTTAGGCAAGAAGTAGGCATCCCCATGGGCACCAATTGTGCTTCCCTTCTTGTTGATCTGTTTCTTAATGCAAATGAGTCGGAATTTCTAGTCGGAATAGAAAATCGAAACAAGATAATTTGGCCAGTTTAATTTATAAGCGTCAGGTATATCGATGATCTGATATCGTTCAATGATCATCAAATAACCAATTCGCTTCCACTGCTGTACCCACTTAAACTAGAAATAAAAGACACCAGTGAGACCGCAATGGGGGTCGCAATGGGGGTCGCAATGGCAATGGGAATCGACTCTACCATAGAGAAAGGCCCTGGGGATCTACCCTTCCCCTGACGAAGGCACTGGAGATTTACCCCACCCTAGAAGAAGCAATGGGGATATACCTTTCCATTGACGAAGGCACTTGGGATCTACCCCACCCTAGAAGAAGGCACTGGAAATCTACCCCAACCTCTAAGGAGGCACTGGGTTTCTACCCTACCCTTGACGAAGGCACTCGGGATGTACCCCACCCTAGAATAAGGCACTGGGGATATACCCTGCCCTTGACGAAAGCACTGGAGATCTACCCTTCCCTAGAAGAAGGCACTGGAGAGCTACCCTACCTTAGAAGACGGCACTGTGGATCGACCCTACCCTTGACAAAGGTGGGGGTACGGGTGGCCCAGTCGTCTAAGGCGCCGCGATTCGCTGTACAGAGTTGCGTCCTTTGGACACGCCAGAAACGTATGATTGTGGGTTCGAATCCCGGTTCGCCCCGATTATGTTTGTAGGTTTGTCAGCACCATACCCGTGCTCGTGGGTTCCACCGAAGTGTTATCATTAGGGCTTTCCTCCCACATTAAGCTGACACGCCGTGATATAACTTTAATACTGTTAAAAGCGGCGTTTCTCACTTACTCATTCATTTGACAAAGGCACTGGGGTGTACCCTACCCTAGAAGAAGGCATTGGGATATGATGTATAGAATGTACAATGTACTGCGGACTACCCTTCCCGTGAAAAATAATGCAGTGAGGGCCTACCTTACCCTCGGATTCTGGCGACGGTATGGACGTTATCGTGCATCTGATCCACACAT